TTGAGTGGAGCCAGAAGTTGGAGTACCAAACACTGACTCCAGGTACTCATCTGAGTACCTCACTGAGAAAGTTATGTGCACCCCTGGGTATATATTTTGCTGAGCTGTGCACTTAATCTATTCCACATTTTCCATAATTTTCAAACCCAGAAAAATCTGAAATTTTTATCAAAGGTGCGTTTTCTTTGGTCAGGGATGATTTCTGGTCATACATTATGACAAAACTATCTTGGAGAAAAACTGATTTTTAGCTTTTTTTTGTGTTTCTATTGGTTTTCATAACCGATTCCGTTAGTTGTGGTGAGGAGGAAACCTCTCTGGATAATTTGGCTCCCGGTAAAACCAAATTCTACAAATGATCCAATGTTCTTTCTGTGTTTCCTGTCCAGGATCCTGGGCCTGTACGCCTCTGTGGTTCTGGTCATCGGCAAGTTCGTACGCGAGTTCTTCAGCGGCATCTCCCACACCATCATGTTCGAGGAGCTGCCCAACGTGGACCGCATCCACAAGCTGTGCACGGACATCTTCCTGGTGCGAGAGACGGGGGAGCTGGACCTGGAGGAGGACATGTACGCCAAACTCATCTTCCTCTACCGCTCTCCAGAGACTATGATCAAGTGGACCAGAGAGAAAACGGAGTGAATCTCAACGAGGGGACGCTAACGGATGAATTGAGCAGCGATTTTCACCTGCTGAGGGAGCACAAAGTCAGCCGAGGACCAGCTCTGTCCTCGTCCACTGAGCTCTGATGGCAGAAATACAGTGTTGGCTCCACACTAAAACACTTGTTTGTGTTCGAAACTAGTATTTTATACAAGTTACCGCTGAAAAACAACAATTGCAGCAACTATTGAGGACAGATTGCCGGTGCTGTATTTATCTCGCTAAACCTGGCTCTGTTTGGCATCCAGAGGATAGAACGAGCAGCCGGTTGGAGAAGGAGAACTCTTTTAAGACAATTTCACTAAGTTATAAAAAATCTTAAAGCTAATATAAAGGTTTTTAAACACAAATTACCCTCATCGCTCCTCATGCCTGCCTCTGACATTTTCACAGTCGCACGGTAGGCGGAGAGAAACTGGCTGCATTAATCTTTAAGGGCTTCCCATTTACAAACGAGTGCACAATAATGTCACATGACCACATGAGCACAATCTCATATTTTCTCCCAACTGAAATGCGTGGACTGTGGGAATGTGCAATATTGAGTTCCTCCAAGACTTTGAGGGATGTGGACCAAGAGAAAAAGGGCCGGGTCTGACCAAGAAACAACCTTTTTTTGTTTTTGTTAAAGGTCAGAGGCCACAAGGGAGCCTCCTGAAAGACACAAAGCATTACAAAACATTATCAGACAATCTTTAATTGCCTTATTTTGTTTGTGTGATAAGAACTGTTATCGACGTATCTTTCTCAGGAAGAGCTGTTTTCACAGATATTCATCGTATGAGTTATATGTTACAATATGTAGGCTTTGATGGATCTTAAAGATTGTAGAGAAAGTATTTAAATGGCATGACATGTAATGTGGATATTGTTGAGATGGACTGAGTATGGTTATTGCACAGAGAAATATTTTAAAGGCTGTATTTAGAAAGTAAATTGTGGACTGTTTTCCTCCCAGAGATTTATTGCCAATCATCCACATTCTGAATCTACAGGTTGGCGAAATAAGAGACGAGCGGAGGGCTGTTTCTGAATCAGGGTAACGTGCACTAGGTGGAAGACTCCTGCACAACACTTGTGAACCTCTCGCTATTTTTAAACCTTCATACTCACGAACAATGGCGCGTTCAGTCATCAAGGAAAAACACGAACAGAAAAAAAAGACTCCTCACAAGAAGGGCTGAGACACGAAGCCCTTTGGTCCAAACTATGCATTAGGACATTGTAGCATGATAGAAAAACTTCATTATTGCCATGATTAATTTTCATTACATGTACATACAAGTTACAGGGGGACAGGTCACGGTGGAATGAAATGTGAAAATGTACCTGTGTGTTTAAGGCGATGTTATTGTATGATAGAGGTCCAAAGATCTGCGAATAAATCATGTGGAAAGGTGTCGAGTTTTGAATTCAGATGCTGTTTGCTTGTGGGAAAGGACTATGAGTATGTGTATGATACCTATGGTATCAACGAGTGAGTGAATGAGTGTCCTTCATTTTCCCCCAGCATGCCAGTTTCTCCGCTGCGAGGCTACACTAGCACCCACCCAGAGTGTCAGTTTCTCTGGATGGCGAAGGCTCAACTAATCACTCCCCCCGCGCTCAGCGTTATCAGTTTCTCCGCTTGGCGATGGGCTCCACCATGGCACCCCCCCCCCCAGCTTGTCAGTGACATCGCGGCTGCGAGGCTCCACAAGCACACCACCCCCCACAGCTGTCAGTGACTCCTCTGGCGAGGCTCCACTGCACCCCCCCAAGGCGCTGTCAGTCTCTCCCGCTCTGGGCGACCGAGGTCCCCACAGCACCGTAGCACCAGCACCCCCCCTCCGCCCCCCAGTGTGTGTCAGCTTCTCCGCTCCGCGACGAGGCTCCAGCTGTCCGTGTCTCCGCTGCGAGGCTCGCACTTGCATCCCCCGCCCGCCAGCGTGTCAGTTTCTTCCGCTGCACGAGGCCCCAGCCGAAGCCCCCCAGTGGTGTGTCAGTTTCTCCGGCCTGCGACGAGGCTCCAGCTTGTCAGTGTCTCCGCTGCGAGGCTCCACTTGAACTCAGACCAAGCGTCGTCAGTTCTTCCGCTGCAAGAGGCTCCACTACGCA